GCACCATTGGAAGACCTGAAGGACCAGATCAGGGACAGGTTATCATGGAGAAAATCTGTCTGTGTGGTAGCTAACAGTCAACACCAACTTGATGGCAATAATTTTAAATAATAAATAATTTTATTATTTACTGTGTGCTTCTTCTGATAGGACTGCTGATCTCTCAGGAGTTCTCTTGATTTATGAAATGATTACTCTATGTTTGAATCAGTACATTTTTTTCAGAGAAATCAAAGAGAAATACACTCATGTCAAACAACCCCACTCAAAAATGTCTGGGTGATCAGAAGAGCAATTTGAAATATAAAGCACTCAAACCTGAGACAGAGCCTCTGAAACTTTTTTCCCCCTTTTTTTCCCATCCAATTTTCCACGTGAATACATTTTGGTCAGAGATAGAGCTTTTTTTCCTTCCCATGCACATTCCAAGTGTGTGTGTGTGTGTGTGTGTGTGTGTTTGTATGTGAAGTGTTTTCCATACTTTATGATCTCCCCAGCACAAGCAATACATACATATCATATGCGCATGCACACACACAAATAGCAAGTAACAGATCTATTGTTCTGGGAGTTTGATATTCCAGCATAAAGATGGAATATGGTCTCTCTCAGGTGAAGCATCCAGTATCTGGCAACCAGCCTGGGTGGGAGCATTTCCACAGCAGATTTCAGGGCTAACTGGGGCTAAGCAGATCACTGTCCCTGACTGTGTCATCTCAAGTTCATCCCTGAGGTGTCTTTGATTGTCAGCTTGGGAAGTTTTGTCTTGGGAGAAGATGGAAAACACCACTTTCAAACTGGAACAACTGAAGATAGCTGTAGGTTGCCTCAGCAGTGGGCTGGGTATGAGATGAAGATGAAGATCACTAAGATATGTCCTTAAAAATGGTTAATAAAATACCTTTAGGCCACAAGAGGTAGCATGTGAGAATAAGCCCTAAATCCAACTGATGTTCCCATTAAATTGTGTTCCACTTATAAATGACATATTTTCATGTTTTACATTTTTGCTGAAAGGCTAGCTTGCTGTGCAAGTTCTGTGATATAACCATAAGAACCCAGGATTAGATCACAATCCTGATTAACTAATCATAATGCTTAATAATTTATAAAAACGAATGATACTTTTTTGATTCTTCTCTTGCAGGTCTACCTTCAGCTGTGCTGCAAAACTGTCCTCAGATAATAAAGAGAGCATTGTAAGCATTATACGCTGTGCTACTGCCAGAGCTCTTTAGAATCATTTGCAAAGTCTGAACTCAGCTCTGGAAAATAAATGTGAACAATTTAGAAGACAGTTCCACTGACCACATGCACACTGCATATTCCTTGCTTGAACTTCTAAAATAGAAATCATAGGACAGAGTGCCCAGTGACTCTAATTTCAGACAATTATTGGTCAAAACTGCAATGATATTACTTTGTGAGAAAACAATTATAGGAAATTGGTTCAGACCTGGCCAAATTATATCTTTATCAAGCCAAGTACTATCTATTCTGATAAGCAAAGGCTCTTAGAATCTCAGGCATTGTCTTTACCATCACATGTTTCCAATTATTTTTTAACTGAAGATGTCAGAGATTAAACCAGACTACCAACATACAAAGCAAATTCTCAACACACACCTTTCCACAAGGTTGATGCTTAATAATACACTGATACACTGATTTTATTATGTGTCCAAAGTTTTCCAGTCTAGGATGCCTCATTTTCTCTTTCAGGTGTGTCTGATGGCAACAGCTATATGATTGCTATTTATAAAACCTCTAGTTTCAGGTTTGGAGAGTTTGAAGGATACGATTAAAAAAACTTCAGCATCTTACCTGCTCATAGTCTGAAAATTGAACTGGCACAACAGTACACCCAAAGCAAACTTTGCTTTGGTTTGGCATGAGAAACAAGGCAAAATCTGTAACTGGCGCTGGCTGAAATTTCTCTTATCTTTGTTCTTTATTTCCAAGAATGTAGAAGAAAAAACAAACAGTTTTCCATTTTTTAATTTAGTGTTCACCCTGCATAACTAAGAATCTTCATGGAAAATACATTTAGTGACCACACAAGATAAATTAAGTTGGAAAAATACACTACTCATTTTTGTTTTTGTTTTTGGCAAACTGGGACCCCAAGCCTAATGATAACTGTACTTTCAGACAATTAATTCCCCAGGGTCTTCCCTACAGAATGTCAAGCTGATATGAAGCACCCAGTTTAAAGGAAGCTAATTTTAGAACATTCTTGCCCTGCCTCTTTCAATGCTGAACATCTTAGGGTAGCATTGGGACTGTTATTTAAATTTATACCCAGCTGTTCATAGTGAATAAACACTGCAGTACATGAATAGTTGTGAATTGTTTGGGAACTCAAAAAAGGAACTGCTGTGTTTGATGTGATCACTATTGATATTAACCTGCATTTTAGGAACATGGAAAGTTGTTTATGTACAATTCTTGGTCCATCTAACTTGGTACTGTCTGCACAATCGAGTTTTCCCAAATTTTACCTGTAAATATGCAAAGCTGAGCTAAGGACTATCTGCAGGTAATGCATTCACTCTACTACTGAGCTATGGTTCTTTTTTTCTTTCAAAAGACTTTCAGCAGTCAAACCACAATGTTCTTTCTTTATAATTGTTTAATAGCTTATAGCTTGGGCATGTATATTCACCATTTCACGTTAGTGTAATGCAACCAATGTTGCTGGGAGGTCTAGATCAGTTGTAGACAACACTTTAATACTGAGAGGCTATATAATTATTGGGGGGTGGGGGTGAAAACAGAAATTAGGGGAAAATCCTGTATTGTGGTCAGATCATTTTACATTTATGGGGTTTTAATTTTTTCCATTACTGGGGATGAGGTCTATGTAAGGATATTATTTTTCATCATACTTACTAAGCCTATTCTAGGGTTTACACGTTGGTTTTATTGGGTTTCCATTTTCCAAACAGTACTGATGCCACTGGTTTTGGGAAATCATGTCATTCAAATTAATCACAACATATTTTAAAATATTTTTGGCAGAGTGCTAGCTTAGTGAAAGTCTGTTTTTCTTGGGGGCGGGTCTGGATCTAGTAGGAAGGTCTTATAGGCTACAAAGTGTTCACCATCCAGAGCCTTCCAGATGTTTTTATGTACAATTCCCATATTCCCTTGCCATTCATCATGGGATTGATCTAAAAGATTTGGAGGACATCAGGTTGCCTGTCCCTGGAATTTGGGTGCTGTTAATACTGAATAGCTGTTGCTTTATTCTAATCTACTGAATGGCTATTTAAAAAACAGTAATATCTTGACTCCTGAATTGTCATCATAAAGGAGAAGTCTGCAAATGTGCCACATAACAGTTTATGTCATCAGTCAATTTTGGGGTGGCACGTGAACATCTTTCTTGATAAACAACAGCTACTCAGTTTAAAATTTCACTAACAACTCAATCCAAGAACATGGTATCCCAATGGGACCGGAAGCAATTCTGTGTGAAGAATCACATAAAATGTAACTATATCTGTTGAAGTTCTGAACAGTTTCTTTGTGATATTTTATTCACCTTTACTGTACCACATGGAAGATTTTATTCAACACAGCTAACATTGTGCTCATTTGTTCCATCTGTCTATCTATTCTTGAACTTATATAGATTGTTTATAGGCCTACCTGAATAATGTTTGGCCACTGAAGGAAGCCAAGAACCATCAGCTAAGTGTGGTATCAATGCCATCCTTCTGTCATGTGTGTATGCATATGTGTGTGGTAGTAGTGGGAAACAATAAACTAAGCTCTGATTGCCTGAAGTGACTTGAAATTGCCACAGGATGTGAGAAGGGAATACAACAGGCTCTACAACCCTATATTTTGTCTTGTTAGGGCATTTCGCAGAATTTTCAGGGAGACTAATGCCTTTATTTTCCTTATATCAAACCTCTGCTTTCAACTGGGAGAGGCATACTGTGACAAAATGCATTTTCATATGCAGTACTCCATGACAGAAAACAAGGATATGAATTTGTACAAGGCTAGATTTTGTGCTGTGTCTTTAGCCATAAGCAGCAATTTTCACGTACAAATGCAAAAGAGCAAAACACTTGTTCTCTGTGTACATTCTACTATGTATGTTAAAAAAATTATAGGACAATTTTGATTTCTTGGAATTTTTAAAAATGAATATATCATGTCAGAACCACTATTTTTGAGCCACTTCCAAATTAAGCCAAGGATGTGTGCAAACAACCCATCATTGCACTGTATCATTTTTTCTTTTTCCTTAAAAAAATAAATGATAGGACTGAAATTACAAGTCAAGAAATGTCATAAGTAGATTCTTGGAAGTATAATTATCTCTAGGGTATGGTGAATGCTTGTCAATCTTCAGCTTTAGAAAGTTAACATCAACCAAGCTCTTTTTATGTCAAATAATATTTTCAACATTCCTAGTGATTGGGCCTTCTATTTTGTAATTATTTAGAATTCCAGATGAACCCGAATATTTCAATTATATTATATCCTTTACCCAGCTTGTCCTAAACATTATATTATTGTAATAATAAATGCCTATATAAAAAGTGTTCCCTTTCATCAAGATTTCTGATTAACTCTTAATGCCTACAGAAAAATAAGATAGTATAACATAAGTAAACCAAGTTCTGCAGGAATACAAGTATCTACTTAGTAAGCAGTTTACTGATAAGTATGCTTAAGTTTTTTATAGATAGGACAGGCACTTCTTTAAAAAGTTCTTGTACATATAGGAGCTCTCCAATTGCCACCGCAGCCAGTTCTTAGAAGGGATACTGTCAGAAAGGTATCCTTCTGTGTAACTTTACTTGACTTCAGTTCCCTATTAATTAACCCCAAAGTGCATGCATATGTACACAGCTTTAATCCCCAACTGAATATCTGAATCAGGGGAAAATCTGGAATTACTTGTAAGGTATTTTGGTTACTAATGCAGCTGTTACAAGTGTTGTATTTGGCAAGGGAACAAAAAAAAAGGCGCTGCATACCAATTTCGTGAGCCACTGTAAAAGCCGCATGGAGGCCGTCATCTTCAATCACTGCACAGCTGCGCTCAGGAGAGCATATGGTTCCAACGTCAGCCATTCCCAGAGTATCACATGAATGATGCCCACATAAATCCTACAAGGAAGGGAAGGGAAAGAAAGCATTTGAAGCATAGTTTGTACCCATAGGGCCTGACAGCTTTGAGTTGCAGCCTTATTGCCAACAGTAAGGCCAAATAAGGATTATAGCCAAGATAAGGACATAGACATCAATAGCTACGTTTTGGAGCAACCTTTCAAAAGATGGCATCCTGCAAATGTGTTGCGACTGCAATTCCTAAGATTCCTAGCTAGGAATCAAGGAAATTGCTCTTTCAGTAGTCTAGACAGCACTAGGTTGGAAGACCCACCTTTGGGCTTTTCCTTCAAAGACCACAAAGTCCTAATTGTTGATTGCTAAATCAAATGGAAACTGTCCATTTATTGCAAAGAATTATGCCAGCTCTTGAATTAGTTGCCTTCATTTATACAGTAAGATTATTATTTTAAGGAATCAGTGTTCCTAGTAAACTGTAGCACTGGCATTGGGGTATCGCTTGAAACTGAAATGTAGACTAATTTCTGTGTATATTATGCTAGATCAGAAAATGGTCTATGTATTTATGATGCACTGATGATTATTGATGAAGGTCAGTATTAACAACCTTATACGCTTTAAACCTTTCTGAGTCTTTCCTATAGATAGCCTCCAACCTTGCGTCCTGCATTTATAGACAGCACCAAGTTATGGAAGAATGTAAAGGAAAACTTCCTGTTGGGATATTCTCCTTCTTTTCTTCTAACTTCTAACTGGCTAACTTTAGGTCTGGGAAGATGAATGACATCATTCTATTTAATGATTATTACAGCTGGAAGGCCAAAGTTCAGTATGATTTAGGAACATGACTGGAATACTATCACTGAACTCACTTGAGTGTCAACTTACATGATAAGGAATTAATGAGTTAAACTAAATCACTTAAGTATGTCAGAGAGCGTGGATGTGCTTTTGAGTCAGTCTTCAATCCTGGTAACTGCCTGGATGAGTCCCTGCAGTTGTTTTCTTCCTAGGCTGGAGAGAAAAATTACTGGCTCAAATCACCCAGCTGGCTTTGTGCCTAAAGCAGGACTAAAACTCACAGTCTCCTGGTTTCTAGCTTGGTACCTTAACCACTCTACAAAACTGGCTCTCATATCCAAGTATTCTGACTCTTTTCAATTTCCATATGATAATAAAATAGGAGGAAAAGGAGAATACAATTCTCTCTGGTGGACAAGGCATAAATGATGTATATATTCACAGAGAAACTTAAGCATAGTAATAGATAGTATAGTAATCCTATCATATGCCAGTACTTTTAACTGTATATTACATCATGTCTTTTACTCCCATAAGGAAATTTAGCAATTATAAGTACAAATACAATGAATGGACAGCAAATGGCAATTCTGGACATGTAATGTTACTATAATAGTGTTAGGAGCCCTTATGCAATACCTGATTGTGTTATTTGGGGGTTCCACAAAAGTAAGGACTAGTTATTTGGGAATGGTTAAATCATAATGCAGGATTGTTTAACTGTACTGAACATATAAATTTATATGAAATGTAGTTAAAATATCCTAATCTATAGGGATATACTGTACCTCTTGCTGCCTAGTACCCTTGGGGATATGAAAAGTCTGGTTAGGGCTGGGAGAGAATTTATTTTACCAAACATATTTTAAAGCAGTTACATTTCGTGGGCACCTGTGTTAGCAAAACTGTTTATTTTTATTTTATTTGTGCTGCTTCAAAGTGAGCATCTTCTAATGAAACATACTTGTTAGCTTGTGGGTATCTTTTCTTGACTGGCAGGAAAAAAAAATGGTTCCTGTTGATCTGATATTCTTGGCCAAGGAAAACACTCTGGAAAGATGGCAGATGGGTAAAGCTTAGGTACTAAGAACAGGGATGAACAATGATCTGACCTTTTTGGCACAATTGGTACTATACAATTATTTAGACAATATGAAATTTTCTCCTGCCTCCACACATTCCAAATGTCAATGCAAAAATGTGCTTATGCAAAATAATGAGCAAAGGAAAACTTTAAAAGAAAAGTATTTTGAGTAGCTGCAAAATTAACTGCATTTTAAAGATAAGCAATAATAAAATTGTGCATTCCTTAAACTTTTCCATTCTGCATTTGTCTAATAGTCTTATCAAACAATATCATAGTGCTATCTTCTTCTGACTTACTCAAAATAAGGATCTGGTAAAAATCTGTGGTGTACTCCTGAAGAACAGCTTTCAGTGATGTCACCAGTGTGACTTGAAGAAGAAGGGGCTGCTCAAATCAAATTTATTTCAGCCAGAAAGCCAGAAAACAGCAATATAAAACCTAAAAAGTAAGCGACTATAAATATACATACTGTATATATCAATTACCAAGTAGTATGTATAAATATAAGATATATGACAAGGAATAAGTATGAAATATAGAACATAAAAGTATTGGGATAAAAGTACAATTATAATAGAATCAATAATACAAAATACAAGTAAGTAAATGAATCAAAATCTTCAACTACAAGGCAAATAGCACACACAGAGGCACAAAACTGGTAGCCTGGGAGGATATACTTGGGTTCTTATCAGATTAGGGGGTGCAACAAATATAAGTTGTACTCTCTGCCTGGAAACATCTTCAGGATGGGGTGGATGAGAGTCATCCTAGAGTCCTACAAAGGCAACAACGGAGGAGCATATGGCTGAAAGACTGCTCACCATTCCTCATATGTTGAATTCGACAGTGCTCCTACCATTCTGTGGTCCTATTGATTACAGTAAGTGTATATTCTATACACACTGTATGTAGGTATGCATGTACACATGCATGTTTATGCACTGTATATATGTACAGTATGTGTGTGTATACTGTACGGTCTAGAACTATGGACTTCAAGCACAGAGCTTTTTTGTGAGCAGAACTTATTCTTCGTGTTTCTAAAAAAGTATGTCATATGCCTGTACAAGGCATTTCTTGCCACCAAAGTGAATGGGTGAATGCATGGTTATTCACTGTGGAAGTCTGAGAGTCAACATGCAGTGTGTTCAAGAATGGCTTATGAGGCCAAATGTGGCAAAACTCTGATTAAAAGCAACACCTGTGAAAACAGTTCAGATGCTCTCTAGGAATCATTCCAATCATGCCAATTCCATTCTTCATAGAATATGTGATTAAGTAAGTGCCTTTTCAATAATGTTGTTTTTATAAGAAACCAGCCAAGAAATCTATCAGCAGGATGCCTTATTTCTTCAAATCCTAGATTATCCTGTTTCATTCAAAGATTCCTTTTACTAATTTACCACTTCCATGAAAATTATATACACAAACAAACTATATTATTAATATCCTGTAGTAATGCTTAGCCACCTATATGTAACCTCTTACTCAAAACGTTTTTGCAAAATTTATACAGAGCCTTTCGGATGTCATTCTGTAACTACTGTTATTCTATAGCTGCTGATTGTTGAACTTTTTTCAAGAAAGTTGCTAGATTTGGAATATTGCTGACTTCAGGAAGCAGTCAGTATCTGGACCTCATTAGGAAAATCGGACAATCCATTTTAATTAAAATTAAAAAAAAGTTGTGCCCTCTTTGTTGTGTCCAAGTCTGCTTTATAAATCAAGCATGATTCTGCTAGAACAATGGTCTCTTTAACCTTTACATGGTTGCCTATGGTAGTATCCAGTGTGAATGCTTCTTTGAGAGGACTGTTATAATAGGCTTATTTCATTATTTTTTTTCTTGTGAACAGTATTCTGAATAGAATCAAACCATGGTAACAATCAAATGCTTGCTATGGGGATTGGAACCCAGATTAGCTAATAATATAGGTTAGGGACAAGAGCAGAGAATTTATTGTAATTCATTATGGGCATTTTCACACTGCTGCTGGTTCTTCTCCCGAATTCCTCAAAAGCAATTTGAAGATAATCCACAATCATCTTCACTTCTGTCAACCTCCAGAATTAAAGAGCAAGCATTGCTGACCTTCCACAGATACTACAACAGCAAACAAACAAACAACCTCTCATGCCCACTCCATCCAACGATAAATAAATAGTTTGCTCTTCCTGCTGCCAACCAAGTCCTTACTTCACGCTGTTTACATTTGTCTGGTCATATGCAGAAAAATCCCAGAAGTTTCAGTGAGGAGTTGAAAAACCATCAGGGTGTCTTTCCCTTGAAGTCTGAAGACCTCAAACTTAGAAATCAGGAAGCATGGTGGGGCAGAGACCTTACCAAAGGGGAAAACAGGTTGGCCTGAAATAAATGGGCTCATCTCTCAAATGTAGCCAACAGTGGAATATCACAGATTTAAGCTCTTCAGATTGCAGCCAATGTCTTATGCAGAAGTGTTCTAAGTCTTTTACTCTTAACTCTCAAAGAAGTGTAATTGGGAGTGTTTCTTACATCGATTTATTTACAACCAACACATCACACGTAATGGCTGTAAATAAATAAATAGTCAGGACCAAGAACAACGATGAAACAGTCCAATCTAGTACAGTTCCTTTATTTGCTTACACCTTATAGACAGAATCTTGCCAAACTAAATCTATACTACAGCAACCAGTGGATATACCCTGTAAGGTTCTAGGGAGTGGCTATCCTGAATCTCTTACTCTTCTCACACTCCCCCTGTGGACTATGCTGCCTCTTGCCTCCTCCCCACTCCCGGAATGCAGCCCTTCCTTCCTGATAGCCTTGGTCTCCCTCATCACTCTCCTCCTTGTAGATACATTCCATCACATAAATGGAGGCAGAATAAAGATGGAGGAATAAAGATGTGTACTGCAGTGGGGGCAGACTGGATGGATGATAGATATATCACTTAGGTTGAAGCTGAAAATCAAAATGTCATCCTGCCTGTTTTCAATGGGTATCTTCTTGATAGCAGGAAGGGTGTCATTTTAATATGCAGGTTCAAACTAAATGATATATCATTTATCCATACTGAATCAGATTGCTCTGAAGGCTGTGAAAGGTTATTGGGAATAGGTGTGTCTGATACCCCCAATTGCTTTTCCCCTCAGTTGAAGGATA